CGACGAACAGTATTTGAAGCAGGGGACACGTGGTGTGAATCACGTGACCGGACGCTGAGGGCCAGCGTCTGGTCGATCGGACCGGAGCGTCCGGTCACCCCGCGTTGTGCCCAGTGAAGGGATACAATGGCTCTATTTCGTGGGGGCTTCTATTTAAGCCCCATGGCCGGCTCAAGCTCACTCTCTTGGTCATTTGCATTGACATAGCAACCTTGTGAGCTTAGCCAAAGCCCTCCCACTCATCTCCATCATTGATTCATCATCTTTATGAGATTGGGAGAGAATCAAAGTGCATTGCTTGAATGTTTGCATCTAGAGGCACTTGGTGTTCGTGTTTCGCTGCAGGATTCGCTTGTTACTCTTGGTGGTTGCCGCCACTTAGACGGCTTGGAGCAGCGAGGATCGTCGAGCGGAGGGTGGTGATTGTCTCCGGCTCCGATCGTGGTGATTGTGAGGGGTTCTTGACCTTTCTCCGGTGGAGCACCAAAAGGTACTCTAGTGGATTGCTCGTGGCTTGTGTGATCCTCATCTTGTGTTGGTTGTGCGGCACCCTATTGAGGGTTTGGCATGTGAGGCCAATTAGCGCGTGAACCTTCAAGTGAGTGAATCACCACAACGAGGACTAGCTTGCCGGCAAGCAAGTGAACCTCGGTAAAAATCATTGTGTTCATCATATTGATTCCGAGGTGATTGGTCTTCATTATTATCCACACTTGTGATTGATTGGTTCATACATCTACACGGCAGTATAACCTTCTTGCCTACTCCTTACCTTACTGCAAACTAGTTGTCAAGCTCTTTAGTGTAGCTAGTTGTGAGAGCTTGTTTGCTTGGTTGGTGTGGCTCTTTAGTTAGCCATTGAGAGCACACTAACATAGAGTAGTGTCATAGCTATTGTGTGATTAGATACTATCTAAACTAGAATTACGGTAGGCGGCTTGCATTTTAAGTAGGCTAGCGCAACACTTGCTTCGCCTCATAATTGTCTAACCATTTTGATTAAGTGTTGTTGTAGAAATTTTATTAGGCTATTCACCCCCTCTAGCCATTAGGACCTTTCAAGCGGGTGTGGGTCTGGGGGGCGATTACACCCCCCACGCACACACATTTTTTGATTCGGGGACCCAAAACTTATCGGGTTCGGTTTTGGGTTTTGGTTTCCACCCGCAGATGTCCAATGCAGGCCCGAAATAGATCATTTTAAATAAAGATGCATGTATTTTGTTCTTAAATTATTTATGAAAGCTATTAAGTTTGTCCTAAGTTGAGTCATGGAATTGTGTGTTTTTTATTGTCTCTTGTTTATACATGTGAATATGTACTATATATATCATGCATGTGTTGCTAGAAATTCCTTATTGCTTTTTTGTATTGCGATATATTGGTGAGTTTCGGGTTTCGAGGATCCAATGGATTTGGTGGCGGGTTTGGATTACCATCCGAATCGGTGTTTGGGGCAGTTTTAGGTTTCGAATTCGGATTTCGGGTTCAGGTCCACGGAGACTCCACCCAATCCAAATCTGCCATGTTGACATCCCTACAGATGCATTGTAAGGAATGATGATGAGAAGTCATGATGGTCCAAGACCATCTAATTGTCATGACAAGTAGGCATCACTACTGATAAGAACCCTATTTTGGTTACCTATTGCCCATTTTAGTATATGTTAGTTCATGTAGATGTTAGCCTTATATCATGTCTACCTATGCATTTCTAATGTAACGTTTCCACCTATGTCCTAGCAAGCCTTAATAATTTATCCACCTGGGATGGGATGTTAAATTGATTACTATGCTTAGCAATTGTAGAAGTCGAGCATGGCCTGGAACTTATGTCCGCGAGCTTGTAGCTTCATGATTCACTTGCAATTTAATGAACTAAAACTTACCAAGATAAGGGCAACCTTTGATATGATATTAAAAGTGTTGAACTAGAGTCTACTGACAACCTTATAATTGATCTTATCTTGATGTTGAAACTTGAAACGGTAGGCGAGGGGTAAGACCATTGCGAGAAGGGATCTCAAATAGTGTAGCTTGCTTGTGCACCCTAAAGGACCATTGCGTCTTTTTGTAGTGAGTGTTGGAACATCCCCATACAGACCACATGCCAAGTATCAAAGTATGGGATTGTTGGCAAGCTTAGTACCTTGTGTTGACTAGGTAACCCCATGGGTTTGGCGCGGTGTGGGCCGTGGGGTAGCTAAAAGTAGATAGTACCCCACCACATGATCAAACCTCTCATGGGCGACTTGGCCATATGCGGGAACCGTTTGGAGGCATGAATCAACCCTTATTCGGGCACGAGTCTGGAGGTTCGATCCTTACTTTCCGTGTGAGTACAGTTGTACACCTCTGCAAAGCTTTGACTTCATCCTTGTTCTGTGATTCTATCTTCAGAGTAGAAGATCCTAAATTATTGAGGAGAACTTTAGTTATGGTTATTCAACTTGGTCTAGTTTTAAAAATGTTTTTAACCTAACTAATTAAAATATTGAACATAGCATGTCATTCTTTAACAAACACCATACTTTTCTCAAAACTGAACAAACAACCCAATTTCCTTCTTGCATCCACCAAAGGATTATACTTATCCATATATTGGTATAAACGATACAACCATTAAGCTGCACCGACAATCAAGACGGCCACTTGACTCATAATCAAGTTAGATCGAAGGCATACAAGTAAACGAGATGGGTGCCTCATTCTGCTTCACGTGACTATCTCCAACAATGGAACCTAAAATACAAGACCCATATCATGTTTGGCTAGCGCTACAGACAAATGTTTCAATACCTATTTTTGGTCTTTTCCAATAAAAAGACCCAAAAGAGAACCCTTTCTGCAAATAGATCTCAAGGAGAGAAGATACTCAGATTTAGTTTGTGTCTCTCCTAGAACCCAAAATGGGTCTCCTGTATAGGTACTCTGTTGGAGGTCAATACAGTAGACCCATTTTGCATTTGGGTGCCCTTATGGGTCACATGTTGGAGACAGTCTAAAGCTCGAAGAGTGACTACAAACCGAACAGTCTCAAGACCTAGTATAGACTGGTAGTGGCCTTATTTTGATAATAAAATCTCCTTTTTTTATTTGAGACTTACTTTCTTCCATCTAAACTTAATAAATTAATACTTATGTTGTTCTTGTATCGTGAATGTAACCGATGGTTTGGGAATGCTCTTGAGATGTGAATATCGAGTTAGTGGATCTCGGAGGTTTAACTTAGTTCGAGTTAATCGGATGGACATACTCGAGTTAAGTTAATTAATTGACCAGGGTCCTTGCACCCTTCTTCCTAGCAAGGGGTGGCTCCTGTTCGTCAAGAGCTCGCTCCTAGTTTAGCCCCGTTCGTCTTTCACAAAGGGTAGCTGTGCCTTGATACTTATTCCAATCAGATCATATTTTCTTGCAGGGCCGCCGTCCCTGATATTTTTGGTGGGCCAGTGCAAAATTCAAAATGAGACCCTATGTATAAAAACAGTTACTTTTAAAAAGTCTGTTTTTTTTGTTGATCCTGTTAGCAGTATAACTTTCCGATTATATCTTGCCAAAAAAAATATATATATATATGGACTTCAGCTCTGCAAATTGAAGCAATCTGCAACTGATTTCAAAACCTGGACAAGTTGTCCTGACAAACAAACTATTAGAACAAAACTTTCATTACAACAGATTTTAGGAGCATGTGACATCATCCCAGGAAGTAGCTGAAGCTGAAACAATTCGCTTGCTCATATACAATCGTGGATTATAAGCTGAAACAGTATTTTTCTCTCACACAAAACCAGCCAGCAGTAAATAATCCACGATCGTTTACGGCCTGCCGAACAAGCTGAATAGCACAACCACAAGCATCAGTGTTTCTTGTTGGAAACAAAGACACCACCACCAGGAGGCATTTCTTGATGCATGGGGAAAATCTGTGCAGCACACACATACAGACCGAGATCTAGAAAACCAGTAGCAGGACAGGAGTTTGGGCATCTCAATCAATAGAACATCATTTACAGGACCTTTAACAGTTAACATTGCACTAAACAAATAACTTAGCCTTCTTAAAAAATAAATGCTACTATGCCACACCACCACTAACCGCATATCTATTCTGGAGCAGTTACAAACAGGAAGTGCCAAAAATTAATCGACTATACCACACACTCGAGGTCCACACATTTACCTACCGTTAACATCCACAAGCCTAGCACAGCACCAAATAAAATGGGACCAGAATCCCAGAGGGCAACCAGAGCAGAGGCTAACCAATTTACCAAAGACCATTTACAAAATACATCATGTTGCTGATATCCTCAAGGATCTATATACTGCACTCCTCTGTTGACCGCTGAAGGTGGGAGCACAGAATAGTAAACAGTGACAGTGATCTCATTGAGGATAGCAGCAGCAGATTGCAATTTTTGAAATACCCTTATCAAAGGGGCAAAGAAATGGTGCGAGACAATGGACACTACTATGACCTATGGACCACCTTTCACAAATAAATTATCTACAACAACAATAAGTAATGGATTGATCAACTCTTGATCCTCCACATTCTGGATTTTGAAAGAAAATGTTCCGTAGTATTAACTTGATGATGATGTGTCGACTTCCTTCCCATGATCTTCATTTATTGTTCTTCGCAATCTTTTCAACCATATGTCATAGTCCATTGGGTAGGTTCCGCAAAGGCTGTCAACATAATCCGCAAAAGCTTTTAACACTGCTGAGACGTTGCCCAACTTCTGCTGTATAACTCTCCTCGACCACGATGTCTCCCTCCACTGAAGGGCACTTTCAACCGAGTCAAGCTCTGGGCAAACTCCACCGCAAGAGAAATATAGAAGATAGATTAAACTTTCTGCATCAGATGCTGCACATAGCTTGCCTTCCTGGAGCGCAAACGTCGTAGATGAGAAGAACAGATTCATTACAGGTCATTCCCTATCTTCTAGGATAGCATGACCCCATCCAATAAGCACAAAATATGGATGGCTTCAACCATTACTGACACGGATCACATTCTCTGGCCGGATATCACTGTGACGGACTCCTGCAGATGCTGCTGCAGCAAGAGCGGATAAACAGTCATGGCAACATCTCAGTGCCTCCTCAACACCGAACAATCCATTCCGTATCAGATTTGAAATGGTCTGACCATCTGGTGAGGTGACAAGAATTGGAGTACTGCACCATGGATGACCACAATTTCCATTTGAGTTAGGCTTATTGCATGTGCCTGGATGGATGACCCGCCCAGAAGATGCCATATGTGGTATATATCTGCTAGAAATGCCTCTTTGCTTCATCAAAGACAGTTCTAAATGAGACGGGCTGGAGCCTACATACAGTAAATAAGTTTTGGTAGGTTCTTCTACAGGAGTAGAAGTATAAATAGGAGGATCACTGTCTGTTAGGATGTCATTGATTTGAAAACCTTTCTGTATGTAAGCATCATCCATTAATACAACAGATCCTATTTCAAGCTTCAAGGTTTCCTGTGGTTTCACATCAACAGCTGGTTCCTCCGGTACTTCGACAATTTCAGGAGAATGACTTGGCTGTTGGAACTGAAATAAACCATGACCATTAGCTTGTCTGTCAACTAAATGTCTTTCTGATCTTCGACTTTGTAGCCTTGAACTATGTTCTGTGGCAAGTTCATCAAGAGAATACTTAGGTTCTCCATAAAATTGGATCATTGAGAGGAATATAGCCATGAGAACTTGAAGGGTCCCAATGTCTCCCCAGTTAGCATTCCCAAGTTTGTTCCATACTCGATCTATAGAAGAAACTGAAATCTCGGCATGTTTCTTTATCCATTCAGCAGCACAGTAATAAACATTGTTCAGACCAAAATCCAGCTTGTTCAAATCTCCTTGGACCTTTACCACTCTTCCAAACTGTCAACAAGAAGCAAGTAAATACAATCTGAATTGCCAAGAACAGTGGAGGATCTGCAAAGGCTTCGAGATAGTAGGACACGCAAAGCAAAGAACAGTGCCTCCCCTAAGACAGCAGGAGATGGCTCCTGGTCACCCTGTGCGGAAACCATTCCAATATCAGGTCTCAACAAAGCCAACACGACAATATGATCCCACCTTCCTTGTGAATGCTTCAAATTCTTCAGCAGTACCGAAGTTGCACAAACACCATCGAGTTTTCCACTGCTAATAGCCTTCTCAGCAGGATAAAACTTGGAACTTGAGCTGTGTATACAAACAACTGAGGAAGGCATTGCCTCATGAGGGCCCCAGAAAGTTTCCCACAATCCTTTAATGCCTGCATGAAGGAAATCTTCCAAAGCAAGATATGCAGTAGCTTCAAAAACATCTGATGTTGACGCATATAGAGCATTTGGCATCCTTACTAGCTGCTGAAAAGTAACACCCTCCAGAGCATAGTCAAAATTCTGTAATTCAGTAAGGTCGAAAGGAACATCAAAAGCTGGCTTCCTGAAACCACAATCTTCACTGTGACCAGAGAACCAATCCTCAAGGCTTGAAGTTAAAAGTTCACTGTCCACAAACTTCCGGAGAAAATCTTTGCATGTTGATGATGAGAAATTACGGTGTCGACCTCGTGAGGAAGTACTAGACTTTTTTGGCACTGAACCGACTGATATATGGTCAGGTGATTGGTCTGCAAAACGGCGTCAAATCCCTCAGTTACTAAGTGTTAAGTTTGTATGCAATGGATGTTCAAGTAACTCAATATAAAGACTTCGAGAAATTATAGGATCCAAGATGAGCAATCAAACAGTAACATATAAACAATATGGCACTGATTACTGAATATAGCAAATCTAGCACGAAACAAAACTTGACAAGATAAAAATGACACCTACAAGTTACCTTACAAAGATTGCCTACTAGGTTTAGTCAATACCTACATGCCAAAAAGAGTACAATCATATATGGGCATGAATTAAATATGGACCCAACAAGTCCATACAGGTCAAAGAAAAATATAGAAACTTAAATATGGACCCAATGTTCAGGACAATTAGGATCAGAGAACGATCACCAACCTAGTAACAAAAACAACTTCTCAAGTCAACCTGAGTTTACAACAATAATTACCAGAAACCCAAGAATTACTGAAATAACCAAATATGACTAGTAACTTTATTTATGGGACAACCAGAATTCTGAGTAACCAAATGTAGTAATCCCATCCTATCCTTCATTCCCTCTACAAAACTTTACACGAACATAGCGACTAAATAGATGGATTGTTCTGGGGAAATTGTGCCACATGATCATGTCCATGTGTGCTTGCTCAGTTGTTGCTCCTAACACCTTAGTATCAATTGGCAACAGTCAACCCAATATTTGAACACCCAAAAAGAAACTGTGAAACCTGTCAGTGTAAAAGATTTTACCATGGTAGCCACTGCTACAAAGGAAATGTAGATGTTTACAGTTTCAAAATATATGATAGGAACTTCTGCTAGAACTGAACTGAATTGACATTCCTACATTTTCCACAAAAACTCAGAAACTTAGGCGGCTGAATGTGCAGTGAATTCTAAACTTTGGTATTGTTCAACTGCACTTGTGACTCGCGAGACGTGGACAGTAATTTATGTAGTATAATTTTGAAACTAATCCACGGGAGTGTACCTGCTTTCCTTTCTGCATAGTAGAATACCCATGTCAATTTCGTTCACTGGTTGGACACATGATACTCAAACCTAACAGAGTCGCGTAATCCTAAAATTGAATTGGCCTGACTGTAAAATAACTTAATCTTATATGCATATTACAAGCATACATATCACCAGCAAAACATAGGAAGCCCATTTAGTATGTATGTAAGAGGGTTTAATTTCACTCCATATCAAGCACTCAACTAGGGACAGGACTTACTTAGACTTGAATCAAGCATCACATTTTCGAAGTTAAAATCAAAGGTTGGGATCCTAAGGGTGTCAAGCCAAATCGAACCTTTGCCTGCTGCTCTCCCAAATCCCAGCGACATATACCCACTCAGAGAATCAAGCCCCCCCCAAAAAAATCAAAGAGCAGCACAGGCAATCCACCCAGAATTTGTTGTACAAATGTATTGTATTGCTTCGGCAAAGGTGCAGACCCCAACCGGTAAAAAAATTCCGGTCACGCCTAAACTCGTACGGCTCGCGGAAACGCCGCGGCAGATCTAGAATGAAGGAAAGCTATCTGTTCAAAGGAGGAATCAAAATCCAGCAGAGAGAGAGCTCGGAGCCGTACCTTCCATGAGGCGGTCGGGTCGTCGTCCTCGTCCCCCAGGGCGGGGCCGGGCCGGGCCAGCGGCTGCAGGGGCGCTAGATTGGAGCGCCTGCTGCTGGAGCTAGAGCGATAGGGCGACTACTCCCCAAACTGCCTCCGCGCTCCGTGGTGGCTGGACGGCAGCCCCAACTCACTCCAAGAAAAGACATCCGCGTCTCCCTCCGGCACCAGGCGGAAGCAGATAGAAAAAGGTGTCATTTTTATCGAGGGAAATCCATCGGCTTCTTCAGTCTCCACCGATCCCCGGTCCCCGGATTCCGGTGGTGAGCACCGCACACGCACGCGCACTGCGGAACGGCGAGCTTGAGCCGGAACTGACTGACTGATTGCCCGCCCCGTTCCGTTCCCCAGTGTTTTTTTTTTCTTTCTGTAGGAGAGTCGGTGGGAGATGGGGGAGGAGAACAGAGAGCCTTTTTTTGCGCGTGCAGTTGAGTGGTGTGTGCTGTGCCTGTGTGCGCTGTAGCTGCGCTGTGCTGTTGTGGGCTTTTGCTACTATTTCTTGGTTGTTCACGCCTGCTGGAATCTACTACTCTCAGAAAAGAATATAATTCTTTTTTTATTGTAGTATAGTTTAGTATCAACTATAGATAAAAAAGTATCAATGTTTATAATAACAAATAAATATCATTAGATTAATAAAAAAGTATCCTAAGTTCTTTTTTTTTGTTTTTTCCTTCTTTTTTCTCCACGAGCAGGGATGAAAACGGATTGGATACGGACAGATATCGCCGATATTACATTTGTTTTCATATTTGTGTTGGGATTCGGATTCGAATACGGATAGTATCAGCTATGTCGGATAGGATACGATTGGTTATCGACATCATAAATATGCGATTTTAGGCCCTATTTGGTTGGGCTTTTGGCTTTGGCTTTTAGCCCCAAAAGCCAAAAGCCCAACCAAAGGGGCTGCTTTTGGAGGGTGCTTTTTCAGAAGCAGCTGTTTTTTCGTAGTTCATTTTTGAAAGTTGGTTTGACCCTGCTTTTGGCTTTTGACTTTCTGCTTTTCGAAATTGGTGGAATAAAAAGCTCTTCCATAGTTGTTTCAAAAGAGATAAAGATAAAAGGTATATTTTATACTTGTTTAACCAAACAGCTTTCAACTTTTCTACAGCTCACAGCCCACAACAGCTTTTCTACAGCTCACAGCCCACAGCAGCTTTTTTCCACAGGCACAGCTCAACCAAACAGGGCCTTAGTATTCGGATATGGATACGGTCTCGGATGTTAAATATCCGGACTCAGATATGAACAGATGTGAACTCCTCTAAATGAATTAGGTCTCGAATACTATACTTCCTTAACGACGAATAAAATGGAGGCCTTCCACGCTTTTGGCACTGTAGCTGACATGACTTTTTTTTCTGTTTTTGTTTTTCCTTTAAGGTTTTTTGATCCACGAGTAGTGATAAAAACAGATTGCATACGGACATATATCATCGATATTACATTAGTTTTCATATTTTTGTTCGGATTCGGATTTGAATACGGATAGTATCAGCTACGTCGGATAGGATACGATTGGGTATCGACATCATAAATATGCGATTTTAGTATTCGATATGGATACGGTAGATATAGACAGATATACAGATATAAACTCCTATGTACGGATTATGTCACAAATACGGTCGAAAATTATATATACCGTTTTGACCCCTATCCACGAGACTCTTCTTTTCACGTATAGAAAAAGCCGGCGCAGCGTGACGTGCCCATCATTCTAGTATCTACTCAAGCTACAATGGATGCTATCATTAGTGGGCACACGACACTAGTATTCCAGGTATGTTGAACTGCATGTTTGTATATGTTATAATTTGTCAGGCAAAAAGTTGTTGCCGACTGACAAGATTCCAAATGCATATTTTTTAGGTGTATATATGACGCAAGTAGTAGTGCTAGTGAAGTTCTCGATGTTGAAATTAAGGACCTTGCCTATTCATTAATCCATATTGAATATACCACTAGCTCCTTGTGTTTGGAAGTGGCTATATATAACTATGCCACTGAATTAGAGGGTGCAGTGAACTCAGGGAGTGAGGTTGCATTACACAGGTGCACAGTGAAGGCATGCTTGGTGTTGCTGGTGAGACCGTGAGAGCAAACATATGGGGGCCTCTGGCCCCGGTGGGTGAAGACTTCCCCATAATTGTGAAATGATGATGCATGCTTTAGGTAATCAAGCAACACTTTTGAAAGGACGAACCAGGTCAATTTCTGTCACCCCCTCCGTTTTAAATTATGTATACTAGTCTATCAACCCGTGCTCTCGTACGGGCTAGAATTATAAAAAATATACAATTTCATACATTCGACAAATGTAAAGTTACTTATATTAAATTGTATGTTTTTTAGTTTATTTCCTACAAAATAGACACAATACATACTTCATAGACTATATCTAATTATCAAAAACTTATTATTTTTTTGCAAAGGGACTGACTTATATATTTTTCATCCATATTCATATTTTAATTAGAACGGCACCTCCGTATATTTTAATATACAGCTAGTTTGAAACCTTGCCATTAACTCTGGTGGCCCATGTTGCATCACATATTTTATGAAGTCATGAATCTATTTTTTTCAAATTTTATTTTTATTGACCCCTACAGGTTTTTTCCTCAAGTTGAAACTCTTGTGCTTATTGTATCTTTTACTGACTCTCATTTTCCACTGTTTTAAAATAAGAATTTTAGGTCGTAGAATACATTCTTAAATACTACAATAGCATACGCAATTATTCAAAACTTGCATCATATCACTTAAGATAAGTGTTAGAGCTTGAAATGAGATCTTGGATGGGGGTAGCAGTGCTAACATCAAGAGAATTTTAAATCCTAAGCCTTATAATGAATTTTTACTCTAAAGCAATGTTAAAGGTCCAAAAAAATATAGCCACCAGTAGTCTCGCACAATTCTGAAGATGATTGAATTTTCCTATCAAGAAATTATATGTGAGGTTATAATTATAATATCAATATAAACATGTCAAACATTTATTTAAAATATATATAAATATATCTAAAGTAACAACCTATATAAATTATGTCATGATTAATAATATGGTTTTACAAAATTTGTTAGTATCATTAGTATATATGAGTTGTTAAGGAAATAATATTTTTGATGAAACATAACATATATATTCATTGCTCATGCTTAATTAGTCAAATCTTAATATAGTAACACAGACAAGTGGGCAATGCACAAATCTTAATATGGGGGTTATATTTTATATGTAGATTTGAGAACAAATTTAATTTTTTAATAATAAGATGAAAATTGGGTTACATAAATTATCTACTATAATAGGAGTACGTGGGCAATTAGACGTAAATTGAGATCTTCGATAGATCATGTTTCTTAATGATACATGTGGGTAGTTTAAATATAGAGTCATGAGTTATAATATGTTGTTTCACGTAATAGCGGAGGTGGGTAATTATTTAGAAAATATAATAGATCCAATACCTATTATTATCAATGGTGATTAGATTATACCAAATTGATAGTCAAATGTTTTAGATTTTTGTGAGAATTTCTAGGTTTTTTGTTTTCCTATTGTCTCTCGCGAGGATTAAAGTGGAAGCTCCATTAAGGACCTCTAGTTAGCATCTCTGGTATTTAATTTTTTTAGCATGATATGTATTTAGGTGGAATCTAATCTTAAGATATATAAAATCTTGTTGCATCCCTTTCTGTGACTCCACGAATTATAGTTTAGGTTTCAACCTTTAATCAAGTTGTACAATTTTTTCCACATGTTAAGTAGAAACTCTAGTTTTTTTATGTTTTATTCAAAATTTATTTTTTATTAAAAAGAGTTTATGTCCTAGTAGTATTGTTTTTCGCATGATAGTTAAGTTGAAACTCAAATTGCGCCTTAGCACAGAACTTGTTGAATTGTTATATCACAGAATTATATGTGTATAGTATTGTTTTTATATATCATAGTGCTAAAAAATAAATTACCAATATGGATATGACATAATGTTTCAATTAAAATATATAAAATTATCTAAAATAACAACTTATGAAATTAATTATTATGGAGTATTAATATAATTTAAAATGAATTGTCGGTGTTATGTTATTGCTATGTGGTTTGTTAATTAAACATTTGCCATGCTTATAAGCTATTAAAATAAATAGTTATCCTAATGTCTATATGTTTACTTTGTTCACAGTTGTATAATTTAAAGTGAATTGTCAGTGATATGTTATTGCTATGTGGATTGTTAATTAAACATTTTCCAAGCTTATAACATATTAAAATAAATAATTATCCTAATGTATATATGTTTACTTGGTATAGATGGTCAAACATAGCATCATGGTCATTTAATTTCATAGTTGTGGAAGTTTGTAATTTAGAAATATATATGTGTCGTACTCTATCGATGTTGATTTTTTGTAATAGCATATATTAGCATTTACATATAAATTTGAGAGACGTAGGGGTAATTTAGATGCAATGTGAGGGGTTATTATGAATTATGTTTCATAATGGCAAAGTGCATAATTTAGATACAAATTTAGGGGTTTATTTTAAATTACTTTTCATAATGATAAGTGTGGGTAATTTATATATAAATTTAGGGGGTTATTTTTAATTATCTTTTATAATGGCAGAGGTAGGTAATTTAGATGTAAAATTAGGGGGTTACTTTATATATTTTTCATAATGGTAGAGGTGGATGATTTTTT